ACTCCTCGGAAGGAAGGTTGGGCAATCCTACTTCCGTAGTGATACTGCCTCGGAAACCCAAGGAGGGGTCGCTATGAGTCGGGGCCGACTCGACTGCACATAACAACAACAACAACAACCTTCCCAGAAAGCCAGTTTGACTATGATTTATTGAGAGGCGAGGACCAAGGAGAGATTGAGCTGAGGCTAATCTTGCACAGATACCAGTGATACAAAATACCTGCATTCCTTACTGAAAAAATAGAAGACAGACACCGAGTAATCCTTCACAGACAACCAGACACTATGGGAGAGAGATCCAATAAATCTACCGTCTCATGACCATAGTACTGGGGGACCCCAGACTCAACTGGCACAACAAAATACATAAAAGCCTTGCTCTGTCCTACATTAGTGAGTAGCAACTGGGGTCTTAAAAGCTTTCAAGCAGCCATCTAAAATGCATCTAATGGTCTCCTAGCATCAGAAGCTAAGAAGAACACACAAAAAAAAATAAAACACACAAGGGCATTTGGAAGCAATCAGCCACAGGACACCATGGCCCTCAAGACCAGAAGAACTAGATGGTGCCTGGCTACCAATGCCAACCACTCAGAAAAGGATCAAATCTGGAGATCCTGGATAGGATGGGAGGGAAAACATAGAACAAAATCCAAAAACTCAATAATAACCAGAATTACTGGTCATATGAAATCTGATGAGACTCCCAATACTATAGCCCTGGAAAACATTCTGCGCCTAGAATAAAACTCACCCCCAGGGGTGGGCTTTCAGCCCAGTAGTTAACAAAATGTACACGCAGACCACTCAACCCAGGATGATGCACCCACATACTCTATGGTAATACATCCCTTAGAGCAATAGACCACGAGACACCAGAGAACCAACATGCAAACTGAGGAAATGCAGGACAAATAGGAGTGAATAAATATGAGGGGCACAGGGGGAGGGTTACAGGGTAGGGAGGGGAGGAGACTGGGTTAGGGATGGACATGGTAAATGCGGAGTGAAACTACATGTACACGTAATGTTGGATGTAAAACAAGTTCTTAAAATAAAAATAAATTTAAAAAATATAGCATCTTAAAAAGAAAGAAAGAAAGGAACCCTGGTATTACACAGATTTCAGGGGGAAATAATCCTTCTAGATTTTCCAAGGCTGGAATTAAAAAATAGCAGCCACATTAGGCACAGGGCTAGTACTTTGTAATTGGATAATCACAGTTATCCCCAAAAAAACCCAGACTCGCTGCCTTCAAATCCCATCCAGCTCAGAGCAACCACTCCTTGGGTTTCCAAGGCTGTGTCTCTAGGGAAGTAGATTGTGCCATCTTCTTTCCGAGGAGTGACGATTGGGCCATCTGCTTCTATAGCGATACCACTTCAGAAACCCAAGGAGGAGTCGCTATGAGTCGGATCCGACTGGACAGCAGTGAATGTGGTGTTTTTTTTGTTTTGCTTTGTTTGGGGGGGGGGCAAAGTACTACCCCCACGCCTAATGTGGCTGCTATTTCAGTGGTGAGAAATGTGGCAGAGGGGAATTAGATTGAAGCATGAAATGGAAAGCTATTACTTTTACTCCTTTACTCTTACCGATAGCTTACTGTGAAAAAAGCTTTGGTGACACCGTGGCGAAAGCATTGGGCTACTAACCAAAAAGTTGGTGGTTGGAGCCCACCAGCTTCTCTGTGAGAGAAAGATGAAGCAGTCTACTTCCATAAAGATTTACAGCCCTGGAAACCCAGTGGGGTGGTCCTACTCTGTCCTATATGATCGCAATGAGTCCCAATCGATGCAATGGCAGTGGGTAATGTGGCATATAAAGAAAAAAAAAAAAAAAAACACTGCCATCAAGTCAACTTCAATTCATAGTGGCATCATGGTTAAAGTATACAGCTGCTAACCAAAAGGCCAGTGATTTGAACCTACCAGCTACTCCATGGGAGAAAATGAGGCAATCTGTTTCTGTAAAGATTTATAGCCTTGGAAACCCTATGGAGCATTTCTACTCTGTCCTAAAGGGTCGTTATGAATCAGAATCAACTCAATGACAGTGGGTTTGGTTTTTCGGTTATTGCCTATTGCCAACCAGTAACCATCTCCAAATGAGGCAGCAAGGAGGCCACAAACCTGAAACACCTAACTGCATGTAGACACAAGGCCATAAAAGCATTCTTGTTGGAATGCTTCTTCAGCAAGGCAGGCACAGTGCCTCTCAATAGCCAACTCAGTATGCCTCTGTGTAGGAGTTTATTTTTACTCTTCGGGGAAAAAAAAAAAAAATGGTACTACTACTACTACTACTGGGAGCTCTGGTAGCATAGTGCCTAAGGCACTTAACTGCTAACCAGAAGGCTGGCAGTTCAAAACCACCAGCCACTTCTCAGAAGGAAGGTTGGGCAATCTACTTCTGTAGTGATATCACCTCAGAAACCCAAGGAGGGGTCACTATGAGTCAGGTCTGACTCAATGGCACATAACAACAACAACAACTACTACTACTACTACTGTCATCCAGCTAAATTACAAATTCAGTGAAGCCTAAGATGTTAGAATTTACCAATTCAAATTATTATGAATACCTTACCTTATAAAAATAAATATCTTAGGTTTCTAAATCTGACTCAATGCATTTGGAAAAGAAATCCATGTAGATGCCCCTACCTTGATTGAAAAGTTTACCTGTGGTGGTGGAAAGCTCGTAGCCCAAGGAAGCAGAATGAGAAAAATGCAAATGCAAGTCCTGGGAAAGACCAAGTAGCCAGGGCATAGCCAATCCATTCAGTGATCTCACCAAAGAAATTGGCTCCAGAGACATATGTAAATAATCCACCTGTGGGCAGAAGAGTCAGAATAAAATCATTTCAAATTTAGACTCCTCTACTTTGTTGCAACTGGTGGTGTAGTACCTCAGGCATTTGACTGCTAATCAGAAGGCTGGTAGTTCAAACCCACCAGCCACTCTTTGGAAAGACGATTGGCAATCTACTTCCATAGAGATACCACCTCGAAAACCCAAGGAGGGGTTGCTATGAGTCAAATCGATTCAATGGCAGTGAGTTTGGTTTTTTTTTTTTTTTTTTTTTTTTTTACTTTGTTGCAAGGCAAATAAGGGCAGCCAGAACAAACATGACTGGACTCCCTTCACAGTCACAGGAGTTTTACAGAATCCTCCTTTGAGGAAGAGAACAAAGCAACAGCAATATGTTGACCTTGGAACATCCTGGAATCTTGAGAAATGGCCCAACTTCTTGATGAGCTCCATTCAAATCCCCAACAATTATTGGACACTAACTTTGGATATACAAGGGAGAAATACAGGATGTCTGGCTTTTGTTTCATTTTATTTACTGATGTTCCCAGTCTAATGCTTACTTTTCCACTATTCTTCCCTGAATACCCACATGCTCAGCATTTTTCAAGGTTAAAGAACTGAAGGAAAAATTCAAGACTTGAGCTGCAATATTGAAGGATTATATGGGCAAAATATTGAACAATGCAAGAAGCATCCAAAGACAATGGAGCCAAAGACAAAAGATACCAAGCTGTGCACATAGGAGATAGACAACAGATGCTAATACCAACCAGCACATCCACAATAATGCATTGCCATTAACACCAAACACCAGGCTACAGATAAACACATAAACATCTAAGATCAGATGGGGTTCAGTGAACAGGAGTATACTCTAGACCAAGGATAGATTCAGCGGAGGCTAATCTTACAGAGATACCAGTGATACAAAATACCCACAATCCTTACAGAAACAACAGAAGACAGACATAGAGTAATCCCTCACAGACAGCCAGATACTGTGGGAGAGAGATCCAATGGATCTACCAACTCAGGACCATAGTACTGGGGAAAACCAGACTCAATTGGCACAACAAAATACATAAAAGTCTCATCCTGCATTGTTGAGTAGTGATTGGGGTCTTAAAAGTTTTCAAGCGGCCATCTAAGATGTAGCTAATGGTCTCCTAGCACTGAAAGTGAAGAAGAGTGCAAAAAAAACAAGGGCATTTGGAAGCAATCAGCCCTAGGATATGATGTCCCTCAAGACCAGAAGAACTACATGGTGCCTGTCTACCAATGCCAATCACTCAGGAAAGGATCAAATCTGGAGATCCTGGACAGAGTGGGGGGAAAAATGTGGAACAAAATCCAAAAATTCAATAATGACCAGAATTACTAGTGAGATGGAGTCTGATGAGACCCCTAATATTATGGCCCTGTGATACATTCTGGGCTTGGAATAAAGCTCACTCCTAGGGGCTGGTTCTCAACCCAATAGTAAACGAGATGTACACACAGACCACTCAACCCAGGATGATGTACCCACATAGTCTACGGAGATGCATCCTTGGAGCAATCAACCACGAGAGACCAGAGGGGCAACATTCACACAGAGGAAGTGCAGGACACACAGGAGGGCATAACTATGAGGGGCACAGTGGGGAGGATTACTGGGCAGGGAGAGGAGGAGACTGGGTTAGGGTTGGGGATGGTAAATGGGGAGTGAAACTAAAATACATGTAATATTGAATGTAAAACAAACAAGAAGACAATGGAGAAATACAGAGTTACTATACCAAAAAGAATTGGTTGATATTCAACCATTTCAGGAAGCAGTATATGATCAAGAAGAGCCTGTGGTATTGAAGGAAGAAGTCCAAGTTGTGCTGAAGGCATTGGCAAAAAACAAGGCTCTGGGAAATGATAGAATACCAATTGAAATATTTAACAAGGGAATGCAACACTGGAGCTTGTCACTCATCTATGCCAAGAAATTTGTAAGACAGCTACCTGTCCAACCAACTGGAAGAGATCCATATTTGTGTTCATTCCAAAGAAAGATTATCTAATAGAATGTGAAAATTATTGAACAATATCATTAATATCTCACATAAGTAAAATTTTACTGAAGATAATTCAAAACAGTTGCAGCAATACATCAACAGGTAACTGCCAGAAATTCAAGCAAGATTCAGCAGAGGATGTGGAATGAGGGATATCATTGCTGATGTCAAGTGGATCTTGTCTGAAAGCAGAGAATACCAGGGAGATTTTTACCTGTATTGAATTGCCCATGCAAAGTCATTTGACTGTGTGGATCATAACAAATTATGGAAAACATTGTGAAGTGTGGGAATTCCAAAACCAAACTCACTGTCATAGAGCCGATTCCAAGTCATAGCTACCCTCTTTGAGTTTCTGGGGCAGTAAATCTTTACAGAAGTAGATTGCCCAGTCTTCCTTCTGTGGAGTCGCTGGTGGGTTTGAACTGCCAACCTTCTAATTAGCAGTCAAATACCTTAGGCACTGAGCCATCAGAGGTCCTTATGGGAATTCTGGAACACTTAATTTTACTCATGTGAAATGTGTACATGGACCAAGAGGCAGTGATTCAAACAGAACAAGATACTACATGGTTTAAAATCAGAAAAGATATATGCCAGGGTTATATCCTTTCACCATACTTATTCAGTCTGTATGCTGAGCAAATAATCTGAGAAGTTCAAACCCACCAGCCACTCTTCGGAAGGAAGGTTGGGCAATCTACTTCCATAGTGATACCGTCTTGGAAACCCAAGGAGAGGTAGCTATGAGTCAGAGCTGACTCAACGGCAGTGAATTCGGGTTTTTTGTTTTGTTTTGTTGTTTTTTCTGAACTACATGAAGACGACTGTGGCATCAGGATCGGAAGAAGACTCATTAATAACCTATGATATGCAGATGACACAACCTTGCTTGGTGAAAGCAAAGAGGACTTGAATTGCTTACTAATGAAGATCAAAGACTACCACTTTCAGTACAGATTATACCTTAACATAGAGAATACAAATATTCTCACAACTGGACAAATAAGTAACATCATGATAAATGGACAAAAGATTGAAGTTGTCAAGGATTTCATTTCAATGCCTATGAAAGAAAAAACAATCCCACTGCCATGAAGTTGATTCTGACTCATAGTGGCCCTATAGGATAGAGTAGACTACCCCAAGGCTGTAAATCTTTACAGAAGCAGAATGTCCCATCTTTCTCCCATGAAGCGGCTGGTGGGTTTGAATCACTGACCTTTTGGTTAGTAGCTGAATGTCTTAATCACTGTGTCACCAGAGCTCCTTCCCTTGGAAGCAGAGTCAAGAAATCAAAAGACACATTGCATTAGGCAAATCTACAGCAAAAATCCTCTTTAAAGTGTTAAAAAGCAAAGATGTCACTTTGAGGATTAAGGTGTGCCTGACCCAAGCCACAGTATTTTTAATCACCTCATTTGCATGCAAAACTGGACGATGAATAATGGAGACCAAAGAAGATGCATTTGAATTATGGTGTTGGCAAAGAATATTGAGTATAGGGTGTACTTCCAGAAGAATGAACAAATTTGCCTTGGGAAAAATACAACCAGTATGCTTCTTAGAAGTGAGGATGGTGAGACTTTGTCTCACGTACTTTGGATATGTTATCAGGAGGGACCAGTCCATGGAGAAGTATGTCATGCTTGATAAAATAAAGGATCAGTGAAAAAGAGGAAAATCCTCAATGAAATGGGTTGGTACAGTGGCTGCAACAGTGGTTTCAAACATGACAACAATTGTGAGCATGGCACAGAACTGGGCAGTGCTCCATTCTGTTATACATAGAGTTTTATGAGATGGAATCAACTTGATGGCACCTAACAAGAACAACAAAGAGGAGCGGGAATCAGGAGGGTGGGAAGACATTACCTTGGGGAATCCTATAGGTGGTTTCTCCAGGCTTCCTGAGCTGGCACAATATATAGTCACTATGAATGTTGATTCCCATTCCTATGATAAATAAGAAGACACCTTGACAAAAGAAGAGAGGGAGAAGAAGTTAAACATGTATTTCAATTATGGAGTTTTTCCTCACACTTAAGTTTTTTTCTATAAATGGAAGAAATGAATTTAATTTCTAATTCTAAGAATGGTACTAAGATATAGCGGAAAAAAAAAAAATGGAGATGGGAAATTAGCTCTGGTCCCAAGTTTAGGTGGAGGGGCTTTGTTGTTTCATATACTAAGGGCTTAAATTACACAGTTGGGTTTCACAGGCAATGGTTAATAAAATTTGTATTTTATTCTAACTGAGAGTAGTGGAAATCCACTAGAGGATTATTAGATGGGGAATGATATGATACATGTTTTTTTTTTTTTTTTTTTTTTAATCTCTCTGGCTATTAAGTAGAGAAAAGACTGGGGTAGGGGTGGGAGAAAGAAAGAATGCTGTCATTTGTTGTTGCAGTACAGTGGAGAGATGATGATGATGAGTTACTTAGAATATGGGGAGGGATGTTAGCTGGGAAGTGGGTGAGCACTGGTCAGATGTACTTACCCAAGCTAAATCGCACATCTGTGAACCATTCATAGGGGTATTCAGCACAATAAATCAGATAGTAGCCTTGAAGGAGCCCATTTCCAAAGCAGAAGATAAAGCCTCTGAGAAGGAATATAATTGGAAAAGGTCTCCCTCTAATGAGAAATGAGTAAATGAATGTCCTGGAATAGATGGGGAGAAAGGTTAGGATCCATTGCCAAAAAAAAAAAACAAAGAGTCAAACAATGAGGGGAAAATGATTCCAACGGAGAAACGTATCAAACCTATTTCAAAAACCATTTTCCCTTAAATTTGTGGAATGAAATAACAGTCTTATTCTAGAGCAAATATTCATGCTATTATCCTAGTATTCATAATGTTGTTGTTGTTGTTGTTGTTTGCCATCGAGTCGGCCCCAACTCATAGCGACCCCTCCTTGGGTTTCCGAGGCAGTATCACTATGGAAGTAGGAATGCCCAACCTTCCTTCCGAGAATATTCATAATAGCCACCATTTACTTACTTTATTATATCCTCACAGCAGCCTCAAGAGGTAAATATCATCTCCCTTCAGTAGTTAATAAACTCAATTCTATGATCCGTGGATTGGAGATGAGTTTTATGTAAATTTGAAAATGAAATCTAGTTTATACTGGAAGAAAAGTAAAGCCAAGAAACAGTAGAATGGCATTTTGGTAGCAACCATTCAAGCACAGGACTTCCCATAATGTGCTTCTAATACGATTTAGTGACTGATATTGTAGCATTCCCTAGAAAGTAGACTGCAGAATCGTTTGAGAAAAAAGAGAGACCCTTCTAATGCTGGGAATTAGGAATCTAGAAGAATGGAAAATGAAGGGCTTAAAATTTTTAAATAACACAAAGTTAACATTTTTCCAGAAGATTATGCTAAATACTAAACCACAAATAACTGTTTAGAATTTTTCTTTTATGATTCAATATAACATCTGTACAGAAATACTCATAGCCATTTGTGAAGAATTTAATGAATAATTATCAGATAAACACCCATATAGCCACTAACCAGGTTAAGAAATAGAACACTGCCATCATCCCAGAAGCCTCTCTTGTGTCCCACCCTGTTCCAAAACCATCATTGCCCTAGCAGCAACAGGCATCCTGAATTTTGTGATCATTTCCTTTCATTTCTTCACAGTTTCACCAAATTTGTATATGTCTCTAAAAATACAGTTTACAAAAATAAAAAATAAACAAACCTCGCTGCCGTCAAGTTGGATTTGACTCATAGCAACCCCTCCTTGGGTTTCCAAGATGGTATCATTATGAAAGTAGTTTAGTTTCCTCATTTCTAACTCATTATGAGTGAAACCATACTCAGTGATAATTAGAGTCTATTTCAGTGTCTTTTTTTTCTTTAATTCATCATTATGAGGGTGATTTTGCATATGGCTGTAGCTCATTCACTTTCACTGTTGTATATTATCCTCATTCAATATACTACATCTGTATTTTACTTTGATGAACATTTGGGTTATTTCCAATTTGGCACTACTGTGAACAATAACCAATCAGTTGTCATTGCAGTCAATCCCAACTCATGGCAACACCACGTGTCAGGTAGAAGGGTTCTCAGTAAGAGTTCTTTGTATATTTTTAATATATGCTCCTTACCAGATACATAACTTGCAAATAGTTTTTTCCTAGGCTGTGGATTGTTTTTTTCATTTTCTTATGCTATCTTTGAAGCACAAAAGTTTTTAATTTTGATGAAGTCTGAAGTTTCTATTTTTACTTTTGTTGCTTATGATTTTGGTGCCATATCTAAGAATCCTTTGTCAAATCCAAGCCCATCAAGATTTACTCCATGTTTTGTTCTAAGAGTTATATAATTTTAGCTCTTACATGTAGTTCTTTGATCGATTTTTAGTTAATTTTTGTTCAGTAAGGGTTCAACTTCATTCTGTTACATGTTGATATTCAATTGGTCCACCATAAGTTTTTGAAAAAGTGTACTTTCACCATTAAAGGATTTGGACACCTGTGACCAGAACTTTTATGTGTTAGTGTGGTTAGCCTATGGTTCCCAATTGTTTGGTTAAACACTAGTCTAGTTGCTATCATGGAGTAGTTACAGAAGATTAAATTAGTTAGCCTTAGGTACAGCAGATTGCCTTCTACAATATGATCTAATGCAATATAAATCAATCGACCCATTGAAGCCATAACAATATAGGGTAGATTGTAAACAAAATCATTTGAATTATAAAAAGAGAAGAAAAGATACACATGGGGGAATATTGATACCAGATAAGGATTGTCTACAAGCCAAGGAAAAGAAGGAAGTGAAGAACACCCAGCATTATCAACAGGGAAGGAATCAACATAGCAGAAACCCTGGTTCAAATATCAGCCTGCAAAACTGTGAGAAAATTAATTTCTGTTCTTTAAAGCCATGCACTTGTGTTGTTTTTATTATGGCAGCACTAGGTAACTAATACAGTACTATGCAGATCTAGAACATACAAGTAACTAGCATAAGCAGTTACCTCAAACAGCTTCCTTTAACATCAATTCATGCTGCTTCTTGTTGTTGTTATGTGCTGTCAAGTCGGACCCAACTCTTAGCGACCCCTCCTTGGGTTTCCGAGGCAGTATCACTACGGAAGTAGATTGCCCAACCTTCATGTTCCTTACAGCCAATTGACTGATCCACCACTTGTCTGTCAATTTGTTGTTCTGTGGCTTGCATGTTGCTGTGATTCTGGAAGCTATGCCACAGACATTTCAAACACCAACAAGATCACCCATTCTGGGCAGGTTTCAGTGGAGCTTCCATACTAAGACTAAGAAGGAAGCCAGGGCCATCCACTTCTGAAAAAAATTGGCCAGTGAAACCCTTATGCATAGCAGTGAAATACTGTCTGATATATTACTGGAAAACATTATGAATAGAAGTGAAACATTGTCTGATATAGTACCAGAAGACAAGCTCCTCAGGTTGGAAGGCACTCAAATACAATTGGAAAACAGCAGCCTCCTCAAAGTAGAGTCAATCTTAGTGATATAGATGGAGTAAAACTTCTGGACCTTCATTTACTGATGTGGCACAAATCAAAATGAGAAGAAACAGCTGCAAACACCCTTTAATAATCAGAACATGAAATGTAATAAGTATGAATCTAGGAAAATGGGAAGTTGTCAAAAATGAAATGAAATGCATTAAGATCAATATCCTAGGCATTAGTGAGATGAAATGGACTGGTATTGGCCATTTTGTATTTGACAATCATATGGTCTACCATGGTAGGAATGACAAATTGAAGAGGAATGGTTCTGGATTCATCATCAAAAGAACATTTCAAGATCTATCCTGAAGTACAATGCTGTCAGTGATAGAATAAAATCCATATACCTACAAGGAAAACTGTTGGGCAACCCACTTCCATAGTGATACCACCTCGGAAACACAAGAAGGGGTTGCTATGATGGCAGTGGTTGAGTTGGGCTGTAAAGTCAATTTGGGAGCTCTGGTAGCTTAGTGCCTAAGGCACTTGACTGCTAACCAGAAGGCTGGCAGTTCAAACCCACTAGCCACTCTTCAGAAGGAAAATGGGGCAATCTACTTCCATAGCGATACTGCCTCGGAAACCCAAGGAGTGGTTCCTATGAGTCAGAGCTGACTCCACAGCACACAACAACAACAAGGAAAACTAGTTAATACTTATTATTCAAATTTATACACCAACCACTAAAGCCAAGATGAAGAAATTGAAGAGCTTTACCAATGTCTGCAGTCTAAAGTTGACCAAGCATGCAACCAAGATGTATTGATATTTACTGGTGACTGGAATGCAAAAATTGTAAACAAAGAGGTGTCGGTAGTTGGAAAATATGGCCTTGGTGATAAAAATGGCTGCATGATAGAATTTTGTAAGACCAATGATTTATTCACTGTTAATACTTTTTTCAACACACAAACTGCAACTATACACGTGGACTTTACCAGATGGAATACACAGGAATCAAATTACCTACATCTGTGTAAAGAGGTTATGGAGAAGCTCAATATCATCAGAACAAGGCCAGGAGCTGACTGTGGAACAGACCAACAATTGCTCATATGCAAGTTCAAGTTGAAGCTGAAGTAAATTAAAACAACTCCATGAGAGCCAAAATATGACCTTGAGTATATGCCACTTGAATTTAGAGACCATGTGAAGAATAGATTTGATGTATTGAACACCAGTGGCCAAAAACCGGAAGAGTTGTGGGATGACATCAAGAACGTCACATGTGAAGAAAGCAAAAAGTCATTAAAAATACAGGGAAGGAAGAAAAGAACAAAATGGATGTCAGGAAAAAACTTGCTCTTGAACAAAGAGTAGCTAAAGCCAATGGAAGAAATTATGAAATAAAAGAGCTGAACAGAAGGCTGGCTTGAGAAGACAAAGTAAAGTATTATAATGAAATGTGCATTGGAGTTAGAAAGTCAAAATGGAAGAACATATCCAGCATTTCTCAAGCTGAATGAACTGAAGAAAAAATTCAAGCCTCAAGTTACATATTTAAGGATTCTATGGGTAAAATATTTAACAATGCACAAATCATCAAAAGAAGATGGAAGGAATACACAGAGTCACTAAACCAAAAAGAAATTGGTCGATGATCAACTGTTTCAGGAGGTAGAATATGGTCAAGAAGAAGTCCAAGTTGCACTAAAAGAACTAGCAAAAAAGGCTCCAGAATTGACAGAATACCCATTGAGATGTTTCAACAAACAGATGCAGTGCTGGAGGTGCAAATTCATTTATGCCAAGGAATTTGGAAGACAGCTACCTGGCCAACCAACTGGAAGAGGTCCATATTTTGCCCATTCCAAAAAAGGGTATCCAAAAAAATGCAGAAATTATTAAACCATATCATTAATATCACACAGAAGTAAAATTTACCTGAAGATAATTCAAAAATGGTTGCTGCATTACATTGACAGGGATCTGCCAGAAATTCAAGTTGGATTCAGAAGAGGACAATGTAAGAAGGAATATCATGGCTTATGTCAGATGGATCTTGGCTGAAAGCAGAGAATACCAGAAAGATGTTTAGCTGTGTTTTATGGACTATGCAAAGGCATTCAACTGTATGGATCATAACAAATTATGAATAACATTGAGAAGAATGGGAATTCCAGAACACTTCATTGT